TCCCAAAGCAGTTGCTCTATTCCAAACTCAAGGATGGAAAACAGAATGTTGGTGGGCAGGAAAAGATATTTAAAGATGGGCTCAAAGCCAACCTTAAAATCTCTGGCATAGACACTGAGAACTGGGAAGCCCTGGCCCTTGAACACTCCAGCTGGAGGTCAGCTGTGACCAGCAATGCTGCAGAATTAATGGAGGGCAAAAGAGAGAAATGTGCCAAGAGGAAGGCGCGTAAAGCCAACCCCGAACAGGACCACTTTCCACCTGGAAACCAATGCCCTCACTGCGGGAGAAGATGCAGATCAAGAATAGGGCTCCACAGCCACCTCCGGACCCATCACACACTGCACACTGACCCTGGAGGACCATCCTACTCGGACAACGAGGGATCGCCTAAGTAAGTAAAGTGTGATATGTGTTGTTTAACTATTCCTCTGTTTATGTATGCAGAAATATTGTTGCTTTTCTTTCTTTTTACATTAAAAGTGATTTTTTTTAAAAAAATGGGGAAAAATAAGTATACTTTGTTTTAACTTAGTACACTGTATGGTTGTTAGCATCCTTGAGTCCCTACAGGGTGAAAGGCAGGCTATAAATAAAGTTAAGAATAATAATATAAAGTCTAAATATGACATTCATTCATATGTTCCATATACACCTGATACATCATGGAAGGTAATTTTATACACACCATTTTGTATAATTTTGTGCATGAAGCGAAGTTTGGGCACACTGGCCCACCAGTAAACTATGGGCATATGGTTCCCAGAAGAAACACAAATGAATGCCATGCTTGAACTTGGATCCCATCTCCATGGTATGTCACTAATCCAAAATATAGCTATCCCAAAATCCGAAACTCTCCTGGTTCTAAGGATTTTGAATAAGGGACAGGCAACCTGTAGTACAGAGAGTATTGATCTGTATCAACACTTCTGTTGGTTGACAATAGTTAATTTAAAAAAGATCTTAGAGTCTTTGTGGACCACAAGTTGAACTTGAGCCAACAGTGTGATGCAGCGGCTTAAAAAGCCAATGGGATTTTGGGCTGCATCAAAATATCTCACCTGGAATACTGTGTCTAATTCTGGGCACCCCAGTTAAAAGAGATATTGACAAGCTAGAAGGTGTCCAGTGGAGGGCAACTAAAATGATCAGAGATCTGGAGACCATGAATCCCTATGAGGAGTGTCTTAAAGAACTGGGCATGTTTAGCCTGCAGAAGAAAAGGTTGAGAGGAGACATGATAGCCACGTATAAATATGTGAAAGGATGTCATAAGGAAAAGGAAGCAGGCTTGTTTTTTGCTGCCCTGTCAAAGAGGAGTAGGAGCAATGGGTTCAAATGACAGGAGAGGAGATTCCACCTGAACATTAGGAAGAGACCTCATGGGCCATCCAGTCCAACCCCCTGCCAAGAAGCAGGAAAATTGCATTCAAAGCACCCCCGACAGATGGCCATCCAGTCTCTGCTTAAAAGCCTCAAAAAAAGAAGACTCCACCACACTCCGAGGCAGAGAGTTCCACTACTGAACGGCTCTCACAGTCAGGAAGTTCTTCCTAATGTTCAGATGAAATCTTCTTTCTTGTAGTTTGAAGCCATTATTTCGTGTCCTAGTCTCCAGGGCAGCAGAAAACAAGCTTGCTCCCTCCTCCCTATGACTTCCTCTCACGGCTATCATGTCTCCTCTCAGCCTTCAGGTTAAACATGCACACCTCTTTAAGCCACTCCTCATAGGGCTTGTTCACCAGACCCTTGATCATTTTCGTTGCCTTCCTCTGGACACATTTCAGCTTGTCAATATTTTTCTTCAATTGTGGTGCACAGAATTGAACACAATCATATTATACATTAAAATGATGTCAGAAATGACTTGCAACATTTTAATTCATAATGCATATTGTATTTGTATGTTTGTTTACTGTGCATTGAATTATTGCCAAATTGGAAACCGCTCTGAGTCCACTTTGGGGTTGAAAGAGAGTGGGGTAAAATACAGTCAATAAATAATTAAAAAAAAATTTCCTACATGGCAGGGGGGTTGGACTAGATGGCCCATGTGGTCTCTTCCAACTCTATATAGTAGGACAAGTGTTCAAGAGCTTACTTACTTAGGCAATCCCTCCTTATCTGAGTAGGATTGTCTGGAGGTGGGTCCATAGGTGACTGTGGAGCCCTATTCTTGATCTGCATGTTCTCCCATAGTGAGGGCATTGGTTTCCAGGTGGAAGGTGGTCCCGATCGGGGTTGGCTTGATGCACCTTCCTCTTGCCATGTTTCTCTCTTTTGCCCTCCATTAATGCCTCTTCAAATTCTACAGCACTGCTGGTCACAGCTGACCTCCAACTGGAGCGCTCAAGGCCAGGGCTTCCCAGTTCTCAGTGTCTATGCCAGAGATTTTAACGTTGGCTTTGAGCCCATTTTTAAATCTCTTTTCCTGTCCTCCAACATTCCATTTTCTATTCTTGAGTTTGGAGTAGAGCGACTGCTTTAGGAGACAGTGGTCAGGCATCTGGACAATGTGGCCAGTCAAGGGGAGTTGATGGCAAAGGACCATTGCTTCAGTGCTGGTGGTCTTTGCTTCTTTCAGCATGCTGACATTTGTCCGCTTGTCTTCCCAAGAGATTTGCAGGATTTTCAGGAAGCAGTGCTGATTGAACCGTTCCAGGAGTTGCATGCGACATCCGTAGATAGTCCACGTTTTGCAGGCATATAGCAGAGTTGGGAGGACAATAGCTTTATAATCAAGCACCTTGGAATCCCTACAGATGTCCTGGTCCTCAAACACTCTCTGCTTCATTTGGAAAAATGCTGCACTCGCAGAGCTCAGGCAGTGTTGTATTTCAGTGTTGACTTTTGTGGAGAGGTAGCTGCCAAGGTAGCGGAAATGATCAACATTTTCTAATATTGCACAATTAAGCTGTATTTCTGGCATTAGAGAGGTCTTTTCCAACTCTATATAGTTTATTTATTTCATATCAAAAGCATTGCATTAATTAGTATAAAGCCAATAAAACTCTTTTGACCAAAAACGGGCAACAGCAATAGTATTGTCTGTAGCCTCCAGCAGTTCTTCCTCTGCACATGAGGCAGGGCAAAGTGAACAAGCATACAGATGTGGAGTTGTCTGTTCTGCTCTACAGTCACAAAAGGTGTGGGATTCTTTTAGGTAATGCCATTTTGTCAGGTTGTCTTTTGATCTGCCCACTCCACTTCTGAACCTGTTCAGGGACTTCCAGGTTGCCCATTCTTGGTTTGCCCCTGGAGGAAGACCTTCACGGGGGTCATCCAGTTGGGATTTCCTGGTTTAGCTGCCCAGAGAGACACCCTTGCTGTTGCTGGGGGGACACCAAGAGGAGTGGTAGTTCTTATAAAGCTTTTCCTTGATTTGAGTCTACTGGGAGGAGGCTGATAGCCATGTAGTGGATGGCTTTCACAGTGTTCAACCTTATTTCTCTCACATTTAGCAGAAACTTCCCATCACACATCAGGGGGTCAATGCCAGCTAGCTTGTAGAGCAGTGGTTCTCAACCTTCCTAATGCTACAACCCTTTAATACAGTTCCTTATGTTGTGGTGACCCCCAAACATTACATTACTTTTTTTGCTACTTCATAACTATAATTTTCCTACTGTTATAAATCATAATGTAAATATGCAGGATGTATTTTCATTCACTAGACCAAATTTTGCACAAACATCCGATATGCCCAAATTTAAATACTGGTGGAGTTATGGAAAAACAGACCTTGTCATTTGGGAGTTGTAGTTGCTAGGATTTATAGTTCGCCTACAATCAACAAGCATTCTGAACGCCACCAACGATGGAATTTTGGAGTTATAGTTCACCTGCATAAACACTGTGGATTCAAACAATGATGGATCTGGACCAAACTTGACACGAATATTCAATATGCCTAAATTTGAAGACCGATGGAGTTTGGGGGAAATAGGCGTTGTCATTTGGGAGTTGTAGTTGCTGGGATTTATAGTTAACATACAATCAAAGAGCATTCTGAACTCCATGATGGAATTGAACCACATTTGACATACAGAACTCCCATGACCAACAGAAAATACTAGAAGGGCTTGGTGGGCATTGATCTTGAGTTTTAGAGTTGTAGTTCACCTATATCCAGAAAGCACTGTGGACTCAAACAATGATAGATCTGGACCAAATTTGACATGAACACTCAGTATGCCCAAATGAGTAGACTGGTGGAGTTTGGGGAAAATAGACCTTGACATTTGGGAGTTGTAGTTGCTGGGATTTATAGTTCACCCACAATCAAAGACCATTCTGAACCCCACCAACGATAGAATTGGGCCAAATTTCCCACACATAACCCACATGACCAACCAAAAATACCTCACTACCTCTGAGGATGCTTGCCATAGATGCAGGCGTAACGTCAGGAAAAATGCCTCTAGAACATTGACATATAGTCCGAAAAAACCTACAACAACCCAGTGATTCCGGACATGAAAGCCTTCGACAATACAGAAAATACCGTGTTTTCTGATGGCCATTGGCAACCCCTCTGACACCCCGTGACACCCCCCCCCCCGGGGTCCTGACCCCCAGGTTGAGAAACACTGTTGTAGAGTTTATCGACAGGTGTAGGTTTAAGACATCCTGTGATTATTCTGCATGTTTCATTCAATGCTATGTTCACCTCCTTTGCATGGGCAGACCTATTCCAAACAGGGCAGGCGTACTCAGTGGTGGAGTAAGACAAGGCTAAGGCTGATGTTTTGACTATATAGTAAGACAAGTGCACAAGAACTACAAACAGAATGATGTGGGAGGATGGGTGTGTGTGTGTGTGTTATAACTGTGCTTTTCCCTCATGACAGAGGGTGAGAATGGAGGGCGCTTTGGGTCCTGAGTCAGTGAGAGAACTAGCGCGCGCTCAAGAGGGCTGCTCGGCTTCCCTTTTTCCCGCCCACAGGCTGCCCGCTTGTCTCTTCCCCCTCCACATCATTGGCGCGAGTGCGCCTGCGCGCGGCGAGGGCGGGGCGCGAGCGGAGAGCCCGGCGGTGGCATTAAGCAGCAGCAGCAGCGTCTGACAGAGGCGCGCATCCTCCTCCTCCTCCTCCTCCTTGACTGCCGGCTCCGGAGGACCAAGCGGCCGACAGCCTCCTCCTCCTCCTGCTGCTGCTGCTGCTCCAAGGCTTGGCCTAGTTTCCTAAGCCCTCCGTCGTCCATCCCGTCCTCAGCAGCCTCCTTCTCTTTGCTTTCCCTCCCGCCATGAGGCTGAAGGGCCGGGGATGCTGCGCCCCGGGCGAGCGAGGAGGAAGAGGAGGAGGAGGAGGAGGAAAAGGCGCCGGCGAGGAGGAGCAGAAGCAGGAGGGCCGAGGGCCGCCCCCTCCCCCGCTGCGCAGCCCCTTCGCGCACCAGCTGCGCTTCAGCGCCCTCCAGAAAGCCAAGGTGGGTGCCAGTGTGTGTGTGAGAGTGTATCTGAGGGGAGGGGGCAGAGGGAGGGAGGAGGGGGCGTCCCCCCTCCCCTTCGAGGAACAGGCCACGCGCCCAATGGAGCCTCTGTTTCACAACAAGCCTCCATCCCTTGCCCAAGGAATGAATACCCTTCTGCCCTGGCCTCATCTCCCAGGATCTGGCCCCAGGTTATCTCTGCTTTGAACTGGATTATGTGAGTCCCCACTGCCAGATAATAATCTGGGATAAGCAGGTAACCTGGGATCAGATCCTGGGATTAAAAGGGGCCTGAGATTCATGGGGTTGACTTGGAAGTAGGCACACACACACACAAAGGGGTGAATCTATCTACACCAGTGGTTCCCAACCTTTTTTAACCAGGGACCACTTTGACCAGGGACCACTCTCCAATATTAGTCCCCAAAGGGTTGCAAATCAGTTTTTGGTCAACTTTAGATTCACCATCAGCTCACCCAATGGAGCCTCTGTTTCACAACAAGCCTCCATCCCTTGCCCAAGGAATGAATACCCTTCTGCCCTGGCCTCATCTCCCAGGATCTGGCCCCAGGTTATCTCTGCTTTGAACTGGATTATGTGAGTCCCCACTGCCAGATAATAATCTGGGATAAGCAGGTAACCTGGGATCAGATCCTGGGATTAAAAGGGGCCTGAGATTCATGGGGTTGACTTGGAAGTAGGCACACACACACAAAGGGGTGAATCTATCTACACCAGTGGTTCCCAACCTTTTTTAACCAGGGACCACTTTGACCAGGGACCACTCTCCAATATTAGTCCCCAAAGGGTTGCAAATCAGTTTTTGGTCAACTTTAGATTCACCATCAGCTCACCCAATGGAGCCTCTGTTTCACAACAAGCCTCCATCCCTTGCCCAAGGAATGAATACCCTTCTACCCTGTCCTCATCTTCCAAGAGCTGGCCTCAGGTTATCTCTGCTTTGAACTGGATTATGTGAGTCCCCACTACCAGATAATAATCTGGGATGAGCAGGTAACCTGAGATTAAAAGGGGCCTGGGATTCATGGGGTTGGTTTGGAAGCAGGTACACATACAAAGGGTGAATCTATCTACACCAGTGGTTCCCAACATTTTTTTGACCACCACTTTGACCAGGGACCACTCTCCAATATTAGGCAGTCACACACATACAAAGGAGTGGAGCTATCAATACCAGTGGTTCCCAGCCATTTTTTGACCAGGGACCACTTGAACATGGACCTCTTGACTACGGACTGCATAACCAGGGACCACTTGACAAAGGACCACTTTGACCAGGGTCCACTCTCCAACATTAGTACCAAAAGGGTTGCAAATCAGTTTTTGGTCAACTTTAGATTTGGTTTGGTTATTTGGGGTGCCGATTCAGAAAATTGCACTGGGTAGACCACATCAGCTCTAGTTTCTGAATTGGATAGACCACATCAGCTCTAGTTTCTGATACAGAACATATGCCATCCAGAAGTTGCCATCAGCTCACCCAGTGGAGCCTCTGTTTCACAACAAGCCTCCATCCCTTGCCCAAGAAATGAATACCCTTCTGCCCTGTCCTCATATCCCAGGTTATGTCTGCTTTGAACTGGATTATATGAGTCCCCACTGCCAGATAATAATCTGGGATGAGCAGGTAACCTGAGATTAAAAGGGGCCTGGGATTCATGGGGTTGGTTTGGAAGCAGGCACACACACAAACACACACAAAGGGTGAATCTATCTGCACCAGTGATTCCCAACATTTTTAAACCAGGGACCATTTGACCAGGAACCACACTCCAATATTAGTACTAAAAGGGTTGCAAATAGGTTTTTGGTCAACTTTGGTCAGTTTGGTTATTTGGGGTGCTGATTCAGAAAATTGCATTGGATAGACCACATCAGCTCTAGTTTCTGAATTGGATAGACCACATCAGCTCTAGTTTCTGAATTGGATAGACCACATCAGCTCTAGTTTCTGATACAGAACATATAACATCCAGAAGTTGCCATCAGCTCACCCAGTGGAGCCTCTGTTTCACAACAAGCCTCCATCCCTTGCCCAAGGAATGAATACCCTTCTACCCTGTCCTCATCTTCCAAGATCTGGCCTCAGGTTATCTCTGCTTTGAACTGGATTATGTGAGTCCCCACTGCCAGATAATAATCTGGGATAAGCAGGTAACCTGGGATCAGATCCTGGGATTATAAAGGCCCTGAGATTCATGGGGTCAGCTTGGAGGAGGCACACACACACACACACAAAGGGTGAATCTATCTACACCAGTGATTCCCAACATTTTTAAACCAGGGACCATTTGACCAGGAACCACTCTCCAATATTATTACCAAAAGGGTTGCAAATAGGTTTTTGGTCAACTTTAAATTCAGTTTGGTTATTTGGGGTGCTGATTCAGAAAACTGCATTGGATAGACCACATCAGCTCTAGTTTCTTATACAGAACATATGCCATCCAGAAGTTGCCATCAGCTCACGCAATGGAGCCTCTGTTTCACAACAAACCTCCATCCCTTGCCCAAGGAATAAATGCCCTCTATCCTGTCCTCATGTCCCAGGATCTGGCCCCAGGTTATCTCTGCTTTGAACTGGATTATGTGAGTCCCCACTGCCAGATAATCTGGAATAAGCAGGTAACCTGGGATCAGATTTTGGGATTATAAGGGGCCTGAGATTCATGGGGTCGGCTTGAAGGCAGTCACACACATACAAAGGAGTGGAGCTATCAATACCAGTGGTTCCCAACCTTTTTTTGACCAGGGACCACTTTGACCAGGGACTACTCTCCCATATTAGTACCAAAAGGGTTGCAAATCACTTTTGGTCAACTTTAGATTCGCCATCATCAGCTCACCCAATGGAGCCTCTGTTTCACAACAAGCCTCCATCCCTTGCCCAAGGAATAAATACCCCTCTATCCTGTCCTCATGTCCCAGGATCTGGCCCCAGGTTATGTCTGCTTTGAACTGGATTATGTGAGTCCCCACTGCCAGATAATAATCTGGGATAAGCAGGTAACCTGGGATCAGATTTTGGGATTATAAGAGGCCTGAGATTTGTGGGGTTGGCATGGAGGCAGGCACACACACACAAAGGGTGAATCTATCTACACCAGTGGTTCCCAACCTTTTTTGACAAGGGACCACTCTCCAATATTAGTCCCAAAAGGGTTGCAAATCAGATTTTGGTCAATTTTAGATTCGCCATCAGCTCACCCAATGGAGCCTCTGATTCACAACAAGCCTCCATACCTTGCCCAAGGAATAAATACCCCTCTATCCTGTCCTCATGTCCCAGGATCTAGCCCCAGGTTATCTCTGCTTGAGTCCCCACTGCCAGATAATAATCTGGGTTAAGCAGGTAACCTGGGATCAGATCCTGGGATTATAAAGGCCCTGAGATTCATGGGGTTGGCTTGGAAGCAGGCACACACATACACAAAGGGGTGAATCCCAACATTTTTTTAACCAGGTACCACTTTGACCAGGCACCACTCTCCAATATTAGTACCAAAAGGGTTATGTCTGCTTTGAACTGGATTATGTGAGTCCCCACTGCCAGATAATAATCTGGGATAAGCAGGTAACCTGGGATCAGATTTTGGGATTATAAGGGGCCTGAGATTCATGGGGTCGGCTTGAAGGCAGTCACACACATACAAAGGAGTGGAGCTATCCATACCAGTGGTTCCCAACCTTTTTTTGACCAGGGACCACTTTGACCAGGGACCACTCTCCCATATTAGTACCCTGAGATTCATGGGGTTGGCTCCATCCGTTGCCCAAGGAATAAATACCCCTCTATCCTGTCCTCATGTCCCAGGATCTGGCCCCAGGTTATCTCTGCTTTGAATTGGATTATGTGAGTCCCCACTGCCAGATAATAATCTGGGATAAACAGGTAACCTGGGATTAAAAGGGGCTTGAGATTCATGGGTTTGGCTTGGAAGCAGGCACACACACACACGCACACAAAGGGGTGAATCTGTCTACACCAGTGGTTCCCAACCTTTTTTTTTGACAAGGGACCACTTGACCAGGGACCACTCTCCAACATTAGTCCCAAAAGGGATGCAAATCGGTTTTTGGTCAAGTTTAGATTCAGTTTGGTTATTTGGGGGTGCTGATTCAGAAAACTGCATTGGATAGACCACATCAGCTCTAGTTTCTGATACAGAACATATGCCATCCAAAAGTTGCCATCAGCTCACCGATGGAGCCTCTATTTCAGATAATAATCTGGGATAAACAGGTAATCTGGGATCAGATCCTGGGATTATAAGGGGCCTGAGATTCGTGGGGTTGGCTTGGAGGCAGGCACACACACATACACACACAAAGGGGTGGATCTATCTACATCAGTGGTTCCCAACATTTTTTTGACCAGGGACCACTTTGATTAGGGACCATTTGACCAGGGACCACTCTCCAACATTAGTACCACAATGCTTATGAATCAGTTTTTGGTCAGCTTTAGATTCTGTTTGCTTATTTGGGGTGCTGATTCAGAGAATTGCATTGGATAGACCACATCAGCTCTAGTTTCTGATACAGAACATATGCCATCCAGAAGTCACCATCTGCTTGCCCACTGAAAACTATAATTAATAAGCCTTGGCACTAAAAGAGGATTTTACGAGACCAGCTGCTCTTGTTGCAACAGTGTAGTAATGGTGAGGCTGTGGACCATATTTTAGTTGCTGCGGACCACTGGTGGTCCATAGACCACAGGTTGGGAACCACTGTCTGAGATAAGCAGGTAACCTGGGATCTGATCCTGGGATTGTAAGGGAGCTGAGATTCATGGGGTCGGCTTGAAGGCAGGCACACACACACACACATAAAGGGGGTGAATCTATCTACACCAGTGGTTCCCAACATTTTTTTAACCAGGGACCATTTGACCAGGGACCACTCTCCAATATTAGTACCAAAAGGGTTGCAAATTGGTTTTTGGTCAACTTTAGATTCAGTTTGGTTATTTG